TATACCGACGCTCAGAGACAACTCAGTGATGAGGAGAAGAAGTGGCCGTACAAGTTTGTCACCGCACCAGAATACAATGCACAAGGGAGGGGCAGTGTGTCGGGGGTACTTAATGTGGATGGGTCGCCGAATAAAGAATGGGTATACCTTATTCTGACCGAACCTCACGTTGATGACCCCCAGTTAGAGACGGCTACTTACATGTATTCTGCAATTGCTGATCAAAATGGTAGTTTTAAAATTATTGCTCGTATTTTCAGCAAGCATTTTGTGCTGAATTAGGATTTTGACCTTTAACATTTGATGAAAATTTAAATCGAAATTCACAACTTGAGAAATATGCCTATTTTGTACCATTCAGAACCCAATTTATTTTAAAATTTTAGGCATCGGTTTGGCTTTAAATCATTAAAAAGAATTTCTTATATTATATTATATGGATTATTATTAAGATATTTTAAAGATACTAAAAATTGTGATTACCATTAGGTCAATTTACAATACCAGCTGTGAGACCAGGCACATATAAGCTGCAAGTGATAGCAAAGGGTGTGGTTGGAAAGTACATTCAAAACAACATTAATGTGCAAGCGAATGAGAACACCGATACTGGCACGATCAATTGGAGGCAAGAAAGTCATGGCAAACTACTTTGGCAGATCGGTGTACCTGATAGAACTTCGGCAGAGTTTAAATCACCAGCTGGCTTTCCATCACCTGTCCCTAATTTAGAAGGTACTCCATTATTTAAGTAACTGACTAAACAAATAAAATTTACAACTGTAAAGTAGCAACAGATGATAAACTAATGTAGGATTGTCACATACAATGATTGGTGTATGAATCCCTTTCCGGTATTAGTTTATGTTGATCCTCTGATAAGTACGGTCATCTTGCAAGTGATAATAACAGTAGAAAATACCACAAATGGCGTGGTGAGCGCCATCTGTAGTATGATGATACATTTTAGGATTACGTATGCTCCAACAAGGTCCATTTAAAAATATGGATATCTACTTGCTGAAACGAATCCCGGCGTATCTCACCTCAACGTGGTAGGCACGTTACCATAATCGAACAAAATAATTCGAAGTGGTCTGTATTCTGTCGAAGCTGCCAGACGCGGATCGCGATTTCGATCTTTTTGGAAGACCTACCACGTTGAGGTGA